CTGGTGCTAACCTTGCAATGTCCAAAAAAACAAAAAACAAAAAAATAATATATATTTTTCGAAGCTTAAATTAAAACAAAGATCACAGTACAGGAATACATTTAAAAGCATGGTTTACTTGAAAATACAATTTCAGCCTTTGTACGTCACAATTTCATGATTAATTCACTAGCTGATTCATTGTAATCAACATACAGAACTACCACATTTTGCTATAAGTTTGATTGCATCATATAATAATTGCTGTTAATATTATTCATCGTCTGTTTTATTACGTCTTATATTGATTTTTCCGTATTGCTGGTTCGTCTGGTCAGAGGAGAACTGGCCCCCCGACTGAGCCTGGTTTCTCCCAAGGTTTTTTCTCCATTCTGTCACCGATGGAGTTTTGGTTCCTTGCCGCTGTCGCCTCTGGCTTGCTTAGTTGGGGACACTTCATTTCCAGCGTTATCGTTGACATGATTGCAAAGATATTATTTAAACTGAGCTGGATGTTGACACCACTGAATTCAATGATGAACTGTCTTTAACTGAAAAATGAGTGTTTACTATTGCTATTGCTATTTGCATTATTGACACTATTTTCCTAATTAATGCTGTTCAGTTGCTTTGTCACAATCTGTATTGTTAAAAGCGCTATATAAATAAAGGTGACTTGACTTGATTTTGAAATTTACTAGCAATTTCTGTTTTCACTGATTTTCAAAAAAATAAAAAATAAACCCATTCAGTGTGGGCAGTGACATTTTGACCCAGAGGCATCAGTGCTCATGTACTTGAGTAGAGCATGTTTCAAGGTTTTAGTTGAAATACTAACAACATACCAGGTTTTAAAGTCAGAATGTACTCAGACAAGTCCTGAGACTGGATGTTAGTCTTCACATGGCCCGTCCCATTAGACCAAACCACGCATCCTCTCCGCCAGTACATGTCAAAGGACTGGATGTCTTCATGTGAAGTAAAGAGTTCAGTTTTCACAGGAGTCTCTCCTGCAAACTCCAAGCTGTATATGACCGTGGCTGTTGCATAGGCAACCTTAAAATCTGACAATGAGAAGAGATGAACATTATCAAGAGGCAACTCATTTTTAACTAAAATGCTAAATATTGGATGCTAAACAAACACCACACTTTCACAAGATCCCCAAGACATGGGCAGCGCTCCCTCAGGACACAGACAGGTGAACCCAGCAGCACTTTTCTTGGAGGGCAAACACAGCTGGCAGCCGGAGTCTTTACATGGTGCAAACCCTACATCCAAAAACACAATAAAGCTCGGAGCCAATGATGTGGTGTAACCAATATGATCAAATTTGCAAAAAATAATTCACCTTGGGGCTGCTGAAGCACATGGTAGATGCTCAAGACAGGAAGCGAGGCTTTTAAGATGAAGCCATTTAGTGTGTCAGAAGACATATTTTGAGGAGCCTGCCAGAGTTTTTTCTCATCGGCCAAATAAAACCAGCCATTAAACACGGCCAGGGTCTGAGCAGGACGTCCTTGAAAGAAATCCCAGAAGGTATGCCGTCCAGTGCCGTCTGTCCTGATGCTCTCAATTGACTGGAATATCAATTTAAAAAAACTCAATATAAACACACAATCAATAAATTCAGGTTTTTGACCAAACACAACACACCGCTTTGTAAACACTGATCCAATACAGCCGGCGTGCTGCCACATCCATTGTAAGACTCCTCGGTAGCTGTGCAGTAATGAAAACCAGTGTAGTCCGATTTAAACCATCCATTTCCACCCTCTCAATGGTTAGCTTGTCATTCGTTCCTTTATTAATCCAAAATATGAAACTACAGGGGAAAAAAACAAACATATAACTGTGCTCCTCAAATCTGTGCTAATACAGTAAAAAGCAGTTTGTACCTCTCAGTTGGGCTGAGGACCATATCTCTCGGGTCCATTTCTTTGGACATGACCGTGCCTACATCACTGCCATCAGCTGCACCGGTGTAGATGGCTTTCTGGGTAACACTCGTCCAGTACAGTTGTCCAGTAAGCCAGTCGATGGCTAGACTGTGCAAACCAGACTGCCCTAATAAGGTGAGAAATAAAAATGCATAAGGTTTTGGTGTAGGCCAACATATTTAGGCAGTTTTGCATGGACGTAGCACTCAACTGACCTGAATAAAGAATCGTGCTCTTCCGGTTCAAAGCCTGGTAGATATTCCCATCTTTATCAGCCCAGTAGATTAAGCTTCTTTGGATATTGTAGGTCATGGCTATAGGGTCGCTCTCACTTGCAAGGAGCGGCTCATAGACTCTGGTCTTCACATTCACTAACCCAATCAGCCCCTTCCTGGTGGTCAATATCTTTGTCACGGCTCCTTGCAAAAACAGTTTGATGTTACTGGTTGTGTGTATACTTGATATTAATAGTAAAATCTGAAAATACATGCCATAAGTTACCTTGAGCTTCACAAGAACCGTTGCCAAGAGGTTTGAAACCATTCTGGCACAGACACCGAAAAGACCCGGGTGTATTTGTGCACAAGTGCATGCAAGGTCCGAAAGACTGGGCACACTCATTGACATCTAGAATAAAGGAGCCAACAATACTTAAGTCAAACTGAAAACACTGCACTATATTTGGACTACTATTGAGATCAAGTGGAAAATTAACATTTGTTGATACTAAGAGTATGTTTGGAACTAATAGTATATAGACTACACATTATATATTGTATCCTTCCTTAACATTAAAATTATACACCCCTAAAAGTAATTATTATTATGTAGCAATATGCCAAATTCAATGATGCATATTCATATGTAGTACAGCATATGGGGTTTTCACATTTTCAAAACGAAACCTTAAATGTGTCATTATAATTTTCCAAATGAAACTGCCTTTTATTTTGTTACACAAATGTCAAAGTGATTTTTTTTTAAATATATATTCTATGGAAAATTCATAATTTGTATCAAGCTGATGGTGCAGATTTTGTCTACCTTAGAAACAAGTATGGTTGTTTCATTTTTTGATCTTGAGCTCTGGCTCAATCAAATGTCAAGAAAGAGACATTAAAAACACATTCCGTTGTGGGATACAGTATCGTAAGCAGTATTACCTAGCATTGTGAACAGTATATGCTGCATATTGCAGAAATGATATGACTAGTATGGTAGTGCACAGTTCCAAAAATAGTCTGCTTGGAGGCAAAAGTGCAGCTACTGTACCTTCACAATCAAGTCCATTTGCAGAAAGGGTCATTCCAGTGGGACAAGTGCACAAAGCCCCCCAAAGCTGGTCAAAGCAAGTATGACTACAGCCACCATTCCCATTATGACAACTTTTACCTAGGTCACATAAGGATGAAACGCAAATAAATAAACAATCAAGCTAACCTCGGGCCTCTTTCATAAAACAAGTTGACCAAAATAACCAGGTTTATTTCAGTTAGTCTGACGTATTGTCAGTTGATTTGGTTCAAAATAAGTCAGACTAACTGAAATAAGCCTGGCTTATTTGGTCAACTTGTTTTATGAAATAGGCCCCTGTTGTCTGAGATATGCTACATGATCAGTCAAACACACTTCAAAGCAAATTACAGCAATAAATAAATAAATAAAAATGAGGGTCTTAAATGTACCACATGTAAGAGGCTCATCTCTCTTATCTGAGCACTGAGCAACTCCATCACACCTCTGTCTCGGGGTTAGACATGTGCCATCAGGACAGCGGATGTTCATCTTCCCACAGGAACCTATAAACATGAACAGGCAAATATAACAGGACTCTTAGACATCATCAATAAAAAGGCTGTGAGATATTCTAAACAGCAACAGAAATACGTTGAT